CACACCCTGCCCCATCCAGGCAATATCCGCCGCTTCCTCCTGATTCACACCCTGCTGCCGTGCAGGCGATCTCCACCACTTCCTCCTGATTCACACCCTGCCCCCGTCCACGCGATCTTCGCCACTTCCTCCTGATTCACACCCTGCCCCCGTCCACGCGATCTCCACCGCTTCTTCCTGATTCACACCCTGCCCCTGTCCAGGTGATCTCCGCCGCTTCTTCCTGATTCACACCCTGCCGCCGTGCAGGCGATCACCACTTCTTCCTGATTCACACCCTGCCCCCGTCCAGGCGATCTCCGCCACTTCTTCCTGATTCACACCCTGCCCCATCCAGGCAATATCCGCCGCTTCCTCCTGATTCACACCCTGCTGCCGTGCAGGCGATCTCCACCACTTCCTCCTCACTCACACCCTGCCCCCGTCCACGCGATCTTTGCCACTTCCTCCTGATTCACACCCTGCCCCCGTCCACGTGATCTCCACCGCTTCTTCCTGATTCACACCCTGCCCCTGTCCAGGTGATCTCCACCACCTCCTCCTGATTCACACCCTGCCACCGTGCAGGCGATCACCACTTCCTCCTGATTCACACCCTGCCCCCGTCCAGGCGATCTCCGCCACTTCCTCCTGATTCACAGCCTGCCCCCATCCACGCGATCTTCGCCACTTCCTCCTGATTCACACCCTGCCCCCGTCCAGGCGATCTCCGCCACTTCCTCCTGATTCACAGCCTGCTCTCAACAGTTGGTGTTAGAGAGCACTGCATGCCCTGGTAGCTTTGGCGGCTTTCTCAGCATTACCTTGGGAGCAGTCCCCCCGTCCCCCCCTGCTCCCGCCACCGCGGAGCTTGTGGGCTGTGCCTGCTGCCTCTGCATTGTGCAGGCGAGGGGCTGGGGACACAGTAGCTCTTTCAGGATCTTCAGGTGCTCAGTTGTCAGGGGAGGCCTCTGGGGCCCCATGGGAGAGGCGTCCTCAGGAGGTTGTGAGCTGCCTGTTCCCAGGCACAGAGGCCTGGCCCCCAGCCCTCTGGAAACACCCTCTGTGGAGGTAGAGCTCCTCCTCCTGAGGAATGCGACCCTCAGACCTCATGACCAAAAACCATTCTGAAAAAAGGAAACCCCGTTTTTCCATTGCTTATTCAGGGATTGCATACACTACACCTGTGGAAACGCCTACAGAACACCCACGCAGTAAGAAACAGAATAAACATGGACCACTGTCTGTCACCAGGAAAATGAGCACAGCCCACACGGTCCCACTCCTGAAGCAGGAAAGGCGCACCTCCGTGCCTCATCCACTCTGAAGTTAGGGCTTCTTTCTGGGCTGGGCCTGACCGAGCCGAAATCCCCCAACCCGGGGCTCTGTGACCCCATCAGGGGCCCAAGGGTGGCCTCAGGCTACTGGACACAGGGGCTCACTCTGGGGCTGCACATTTCACTGAAAAGTAGAAAGGAAAGGACCCCATTTCCCTGGAGACGGCAGCACTGGTGACTGCTGAGCGTCGGGACGCTGCACACAGGCCTACGTGACCCTAGCAGATGCACACAGCAGATCTGTGAAGCACCCCCCCAGGCCTCCGGGAGTCCCCCGCCCTGCCCTGCCCATGGATTCCACAGTGGGTGTGGCCTCGGGTGGACGAGGGCAGGCAGGAGGGCCTGGCCCTGTTCACACCGCTGAGCTGATGGGGAGCCTGGCACAGTCAGGCTGTGGGTCTCCCAGGCGCTCTGTGAACAAGGAGCTGAAGAGAAAGCCCTCCGCTAAGTAAGAGGACCATCTGTCACCACCAGAGACAGTCACCTTGCTGAAAGCACGTCTGCCATGTAAAACGTTCAGCCGTGCTTTCAAGGCAGGTGCCCATGCCTTCCCAGCACCCGCCGCCCTGCGGCCCCAGCTCCACCTCTGGTGTCCTCCTGCTCCTCTCTGCCTGGGGCAGGTGGTCAGGGGCCCCGGCAGCACTGGGCCCTGCTCTCCTTGGATCCCTTTTTTCTTTCTTCTGAGAGAGAGTCTCGCTCTGTCACCCAGGCTGGAGTGCAGTGGTGCGATCTCCACTCTGCAGCCTCCACCTTCTGGGTTCGAGCGATTCTCCTACCTCAGCCTCCTGAGTAGCTGGGATTACAGGCAGGTGCCACCACACCCGGATAATTTTCATATTTTTCATACAGACGGGGTGCCACCATGTTGGCCAGGCTGGTCTCAAACTCCTGACCTCAGGTGATCCACCCGCCTTGGCCTCCTAAAGTGCTGGGATTATAGGCGTGAGCCACCTTGCCTGGCCGCTCCTTGGATCTTAAGGAACCTTTTCCTCTGGAAGGTGAAGCTCCAGCCCTGGAGCACGTGTCCCGCAGACACAGCCTCCTTGCCAGGGAGAAGGCAGTGCGGTGAGTCCCCAGGGCACAGAACCAGGAGGACAGGGCTGTGTACCGCCCCAGCCAGTGTTAATGGGGCACATCATATGTGCCCTCTCCTGCCCGGCTGCAGCCTGGTTTTGAGGCAGCTCTCGCAGGCAGGAGGAAGGTCCCGTGTGGCCAAGAAGCAGTGGCAGCACTGAATGAACCATCCACACCTCCGCCTACTGCACCGTCCACACCTCCGCCTACCGCACCGTCCGCACCTCCGCCTATTGCACCGTCCACACCTCTGCCTACACTGTCTCCACCATCCACACCTCCGCCTACTGCACTGTCCACATCTCCACCTACTGCACCGTCCACACTTCCACCTACTGCACAGTACACACCTCTGCCTACACTGTCTCCACCAGCCGCACCTCTGCCTACCGCACTGTCCGCACCTCTGCCTACTGCACCGTCCGCATACCGCAACAGCCGCACTTCCACCTATTGCACCGTCCGCACCTCCGCCTACACCATCTCCACCATCCACACCTCCTCCTACCGCACCGTCCGCACCGCCTCCTACCGCACCGTCCGCACCTCCACCTACCGCACCGTCCGCACCTCCACCTACCGCACCGTCCGCACCTCCACCTAGCACCTCCTCCTACCGCACCGTCCGCACCTCCGCCTACCGCACCGTCCGCACCTCCGCCCACTGCACCGTCCACCCCTCCGCCTACTGCACCGTCCACACCTCTGCTTACACCGTCTCCATCATCCACACCTCCTCTTACCGCACTATCCACACACCTCCTCCTACTGCACCGTCCACACTTCTGCCTACTGCACCGTCTGCACCACCCACACCTCCGCCTACTGCCACATCCGCACCTCCGCCTACTGCACCGTCCGCCCCTCCCCCTCCCCGCCTACTGCACCGTCCGCACCTCTGCCTACTGCACTGTCCACACCATCTACATACTGCACCATCCACATCTCCGCCTACTGCACTGTCCACACCATCTACACCTATGCCTACTGCATGGTCTACACCATCCACACCTCTACCTACTGCACCGTCCACACTGTCCCAGGCCCTGGGGCTAGGCTAAGTAACGCCATCCCCATGCAGATGAGGGTGGGAGGGGCAACCTGCTGTCCCCCACCCCTGGGGACTCGTGCATGATGTGGTGCAGGGTATGGGAACCCTGAGAGCAGCTGTGGACCCACTGGAAGCTCCCACCTTGTGTGTGCCGCCCAGGCCACCGTCACGATGAGAAAGGTCATCAGGTAGACTGCGATACGTGTTGCCAGAAGCCTCTGAACACTTCTGTCGAACTGCTGGAATACAAGAGCACTGCTGTCAGAGCCCAGGTGACATGAGTGTCCCTGAATGGCAGTCGAGACAGCACCATGCGGGTGGGGGGGCAGGGGGGCTGGCCTTGGCCCAGGGCAGGGCGAGACCCTCAGGTGGGCCGCGTGAGGCACCTTGGAAGGTCCTGGCCTCCCTAGCAGACCCTGGGTGCCCTGTTCTGGGTCCAGCCTCCGTCTCCAGCTGGTCTGCTTCCCTGGTGCCTGCAGACCCCAACCCCCCAGCCCCCACCCCTTCTCCGGGGCACTGATCCACACCCACACCCACAGGTGCACTCCAGAGAGTTCTATGGGCTATGTTCCCGCTGGGGGGTCAGCTCTTAAGGGGCTCAGTATCTGCTGAGGACCCCGCCTCGGGGATGGTGCCCTCTGGGTGTCTGCATGTGGGAAGGGACAGGAGGGCAAAAGCACCAGGTCACAAATGTCATCCATGAGGCTCTGCCATCATAACCGGGTCACCTCCAAAAGGCTCTGCCCCACAACGCCATCCCTGTGCGGTGTCCGGCGTGTGGACTTCGGAGGGACACACAGGTTGACAGCACAGAAGGGTCACACCTGGCACTGCCTAGGTAGCAATTCCAAAGCAGCCACAGGAAAGGGTCTCTGGAAGCTGCAAGGGATCCCACAGGTGGCCCGCCCTGGGGGCTGTGGTCAGCATGGAGGCACTGGGGGCCGCGCCGCGCTCGACACAAGGCCCTCACCCTCCAGCCCTGACAAGGTTTTCATGCTTTCCCCACGAATGCTCCGAACAGAACACTGAGTGCTTTACTGTTTCCCTTGGCTCTTCACTTGCAGGCAGGTCTCTGGGTCAGTAACTCGGTATTTCAGCCACTTCTTTATTGAGTTCCATCTAGCTTTTCGAATCATGGGTTTTCAAAGTTACAACTGTCTTTTATTTTTCATCAGAGTGAGCACAGCCCCAGGAGCTCCCGTCTCCTCACAAGGAGGGAGGTGTCTGCTTTTCTAGCACCTTCCCCGGGACACATGTCAGGCCTTTCCCTCATCCCATAAATGTGTTCTCTGAATGAGCTTTTGACTCTCCAGGACTTTCTGAGGCTCAGACCCTCCCTGTGATCCCGTTAGGACGACACAGGAGAGACAGGGCAGTAAATGTCACAGTCCCAGAAAGGTGCCCTGGCTGCAGAGAGGTCAGGGCAGGTTCAGGCTCACGGGTGTTTATTTTCAACCGCCCGGGCCCTTCACTGTCATGTGCCCTCTGGCATGGGCATTGCAGGTGGATGTGGCCGTACCTCAGCAACCCCATTCTGAAAGGGGCAGCCAAGGCCAGTACCTCACGACTGCATTTGGCCAAGCCCACCCCATGGGCCTCGGTGGGGACGCAGCTTTCCTGAGCCGCTGCCCCCTAGGGAGGGCAGGAGCGGCCCCAGGGTCCCAGTGCCTGTGCTGCTTGCTGTCTGCTGGTGCCTGCAGACTGGGCCAGGCTCCACCTGCGTTTCTACTTCTCGTGAAAACCCTATGAAAAGTCTCGTCATCCCCTTCACATGGCTGAGAAAGCCGAATTCTAAGCAGCTCCCATGACTTCCCAGCGTTCCCCAGGCTCAGCTCACAAGTCAGGACTGGAGCCTCAACCTCAGTACTGGCCCAGGAAGGGCTACGTGGTCACTGCTGTGCCTCGCGCACCCATGAGGCTTGGGCCGCACGAGCCTGTCATGAGGACACCGAGCCAGGCAGGTGTGCGCCCCAGATGCCCTCCAGTCATTCCCCTTCTAAGATGCTGTGTTGCTCTTTAGCTCAGAAACAGTCCAGGCGGCTGTAAGCGGAAACTCTGCTTGTAAACCCTTCCTGCTCACCTCCAGGCCTGCAGGAGCAGCCAGGGTGGGAGTGTCCCTCCTGAGGCGGGACACCAGCCCTGTTTACTCACAGCAGCTACGTAAGGGGCCTGCTGGGGCAGCCCGGAACCTTCCTCTTCCAACCTATCCTCTGGCTCACTTCCAGGGCGCTGCCTTTGTCCACTGAGCTCAGAAACAGAGCCGTAGGAGCCCAGTCTCCTGCCCTCCCAGGAAGCCAGGACCTCTGCTGGGGTGGGCACAGGCTGAGCAGGACTTGCTGACCCCCTCCTTTTTTAAGGAGGCCCCCGCCTCCCGCCTCTGCCTCCTAAGCCTCAGAAGCTTCGAGGGGTGCAGGGTCAGCTCCTTGTGCCAGGTCGGGCCTCAGGGACCCGGGGTCTTCTCAGGGCCACACCACGCAGAGCAGAGCCTGCCCTGTTACCTGTTCCGGGGAGATCTCCGTGTGGGTCACAGGCAGGATCTGAGGAGGCAGAGAGACAGAAGGAAGCGAGAGACGCTGGTTGGGCTGGGTGTGGCGGTACTGGGGACTCCAAGGCAGCGCTGGGCCCCCCAAGCTGCCCGAGGAGATGGGGGACCCAAGGCTGCTGGCAAGACCTGGACAGGTCTGAGGTGGGCTGGGCAGTGCTTCGAGGGGCTTGGGGTGGGGCAGGCCTGAGCAGGGGCCCCATACAGACCATGACGGTGGCGATGATGGACAGCAGGGCGTCACTGAAGTTGAGCATGCGTTGGGAGCACTGGATCCCCTCCCCAGAGTCCTCGTCTCTTCTGCCCGGCGGGCAGTCCCCCAGTGTGTCCAGTGCCTGCTCTGGGGTCTGGGGCTGGGACATGGTGGAGACGCTGCCTGGCGGTCACAGGAGCCTGGGAGGAAAGGCAGGTCTGAGTGTGCCTGTGGGTGCTCCTGGGGATCGGCCATGCAGCCTCAGCCCTGGTGCAGGGACAGGGACTGGTATGGGGGGGCTTGGCCACTGCTGAGCAGGGGAAGGGTCCATGCTGCTCTGTCCTCTCCCAGGTGCCCCTCAAATTTCCAGCCTCCAGACTGAGAGGCCAACAACAGATGCCATGCCCAGCCCTGTTACTGGTGAACACTGATCTGGGTGAATCAGGCCTCAGTTTCTCCTCAGGGAATGGGAGACACAAGGAAAGGCACTGAGATCGCCGACCCCATGGCCGACCTAAACGTGGAAGAGGAACACAGCGCCCTGTGGGGCCCTTGCCCGTGCACGGGTGCCTGGGGCTGTTTCCTACAGGGGCCGCGCTCTCCCTTGGTCTCAGCACTGTGCATGCGTGCCTGGGGCTGTCTGTTTCCTACAGGGGCCGCGCTCTCCCTTGGTCTCCGCAGTGCTCTCCCTTGGTCTCCGAGCAAGCCGTGCACACGTGCCTGGGGCTGTCTGTTTCCCATAGGGGCTGCGCTCTCCTGAGAGCTCTCCCTTGGTCTTGGTGCCCATGCACACGTGCCTGGGGCTGTTTCCTACACGGGCTGCACTCTCCCTTGGTGACCTCTGGGGAAACCAAGGCCCTTTGTCTGTAGCCATACGAAGCCAAACTTAGCACCAGGGGAGACACTCCAGTCCGTCTGTGGGAGCCTGGGTTGGGCGCACACTTGGCACATGCCACAGCTGTGGCCCAGCACAGCACTCCCCAGGCATTTTTAACATCAGAGATGCGTCTGGGAAGATGAACGCGATGCCAGGTGGAGAGTGCTCTGGACAGAAGAGATCCCAGCGCCTCACGGAGACAGAACTTGAGTTGTGGCTGCAGGCGCCATGGTGCACGGTGCTGGGCAGCCTTGTGCCAACCGGGCACTGTGGATTTCACCCTGCACCCGAGGTGGAGGCTGGGCACACTGAGATGAGTTCCCCAAACAGAGGATGGGGCCAGAGGGCTCCATGTTGGCTGAGCCCCACCTGAGGCGCCCCTGGAGCAGGGAAGAGGGCAGAGTGTGCCAAGGACGCCAGTCAGAAGGGCTGCTATGACCCAGGAGAGGGGTGACGGAGGTCTGGCATCCCAGGAGACACACAGCATGTGGGAAAGCAGCTCCTAAGAGTATCAGGGGCGCGGTGGGGGGTGACGGAGAAGGGAGAGCCCACCCAGTCCTTCCTCTGGTGAAGAAGGTGGGTCAGAGCACATTCCTGAGGAACAGTGAGTGCTTGCTTCGGGCTGGTTTCCCGGGACACAGCAGAGGCACCGAGGCTGTCTCAGGGCAGGGGAGCTCCGGGGATGGAAGGAGTCAGGCTGGAGATGCAGCCTTCACAGGTTCCTCTGATGGAGCAGTGTTAGCAGCAGAAGTAATTTCTGTACTACTTGGAAATGTGGGGGTGGTCCAAGGGAGTGGCACCCGGGAAGGAGGAGAGGAGCAGCAGGGGGCAGGACAGGCCCGGCTCTCCACCATTTAAGGGGAGGAGGCCTCTTCAGGAAGGGTGTTGGGGAGAGCCCTTCAGCGCCAGCGGGAGGTGACAAGGCAGGGCCCCCAGGTTTTACTCTGAAGGGGTGCTGTTTACTTGGCCAAGGGCATCAGGGGGCTGAGATGCGTGGTCAGCTAGAGGGTCCTCGGGAAAAGGGATGTGCTGCTTACACCAAGGCGAGATGCACAAAAACAAAGAAGACCCACCCCAGAGAATGGACGGAGGAGGCTCACCGCAGTTTCTAGCCGGGCAAAACACACACACAGGACAATCCACGTCACCAGCAATCAGGGAGATCCAGGAGGTGCAAATGAAATGGTGAGAGGCCAGGCATGGGGGGTGGGGGGGGCGCCGGCAGGAGTGAGGCGATGGGGAGGGCGGGGACCTGGGGAAAACAGAAACCGAGGCTGGAACAAACAGCGGGGAGAGAGAAGGCGGGGACCTGGGGAAATGGAAACCGAGGCAGGAATGAACGGTGGGGAGTGAGGAGAGTGAGGAGACAGAGAAGGCAGGGACCTGGGGAAACAGAAACCGAGGCCGGCATATAAACCGACATGTGTGCTTCAGCGACAGTTTAGCAACGGTTAGTAAAGTGCAGTGCCACGTCCTCCAAGGGTCCATTCCTGGAAGTCTCACTGCCACGAGAGGCTGCCTAGGGTCTGCACTGAGGCAACACGTAGTTTTTCCTTTTTTCTTTTTGAGACAGGGTCTTAGTCTGTTGCCCAGGCTGGAGGGCAGTGGCATAATCAAGGCTCACTACAGCCTCGACCTCCTAGGCTCAAGTGATCCTCCCACCTCAGCCTCCTGTGTTGCTGGGACCACAGGCGTGCACCACCACGCCTGGCTAATTTTTGTATTTTTCGTAGAGACAGGGGTTTCATCATGGTGCCCAGGCTGATCTTGAACTCCTGGTCTCAAGCAATCTCCTTGCCTCAGCCTCCCAAAGTGCTTGGATTACAGGCGAGAGCCACCGAGCCAGCCTGGCGTGTTTTAACAATAAAATGAAAACATTCTGACTAGTAAGGGAGAAATCATCAAACCATGACGTAAACTATCAGAACGTTAAAACAGATCTACAAGTATAAAACTATGAAACAAAATGTTAAAACAAAAAAATCAAGTTGCAAAAACATACTATTATACCATTTATGGAAACAATGGACACATACAACAACCATCTATCTTCTTAATTACACACACATACACGGTAAGAAATGAAAACCACAAATAAGAACAATGTTCGCCAACTTCCAGGCAGCACTGCATGGACCCAGGCAGGGAGGCGCGGGGAGCAGGTGGGGGCTTTCGCTCTATGCCCAGGAGATTTCTCACCTAGAACGCACACAGGCACGTAACCACAGCTAGCCACAATCCAGCAAACTGTTCTATCCTCAAACAGCATCTTTGTGTCCAAGCTTCCCCAACCCCAAGCCCTGCTATCACTGATCTGTTTTCTGTTACTGTAATTTTACTTCATTTATTTATTTAATTAATTAATTTTTTTGAGACAGAGTCTCGCTCTGTTGCCCAGGCTGGAGTGCACTGGCACAATCACAGCTCGCTGCAACCTCCGCCTCCTGGGTTCAAGCGATTCTTGTGCCTCAGCCTCCCAAGCAGCTGGGATTACAGGCACCCGCCACCACGCATGGCTAATATTTGTATCCTTAGTACAGACAGGGTTGCACCATGATTCCCAGGCTGGTCTCGAACTCCTGACTTCAAGTGATCCACCCACCCTGGCCTCCTCAAATGCTGGGATTACAGGTGTGAGCCACCGTGCCTGGCCAATTTTGCCTTTTTCAGAATGTTGTATAAACAGAATCGCACCCTACAGAGATTTTGAGCCTAGCTTCTTTCGAGATCCCTTTGTGGTGCTGGGAGTATCAGTAACACACTTCTTTGGTTGCTGTGTGGTAATTTCACTGCAGACACACCTCAGTTTGTGGGTCCACTCACCAGCTGAAAAACATGTGTATTGTTTCATTTTGCACAATTATGAATAAAGCCACTGTATATAAACATTTGCACACAGGCATTTGTGTAAACATGTTTTCATGACTTTTGGGTAAATGCCTTGGAGCAGTTTTGCCGGGCCGTATCATAAGGACACGTTTACTTCATGAGAAACCGCCAGATGATTTGCCGAGGCGGCTGCACCACCTGCATTCCCACCAGCGGGGCGTGAGACCTGCACTTGCTCATCTCCTCTGGTACTCGGTTTGGCACGGCTTAGAAAAACAATTCACTGGGCGTGGTGGCTCACGCCTGTAATCTCGGCACTTTGGGAGGCCAAGGCGGGCAGATCACCTGAGGTCAGGAGTTTGAGATCAGCCTGACCATGATGAAACCCCATCTCTACTAAAAATACAAAAATTAGCCAGGCGCGGTGGCTCACGCCTGTAATCCCAGCACTTTGGGAGGCCGAGGCAGGCGGATCACTTGAGGTCAGGAGTTTGAGACCAGCCTGACCAACATGGTAAAACCCCGTCTCTACTAATACAAAAATTAGCTGGGCATGGGGGCGAGTGCCTTTAGTCTCAGCTACTCGGGAGGCTGAGGCAGGAGAATTGCTTAAACCCAGGAGGCGGAGGTTGCAGTGAGCTGGGATCGTGCCACTGCACTCCAGCCTGGGCAACAGAGTGAGACTCCACAGATCACAAGGTCAGGAGTTCGAGACCAGCCTGGCCAACATGGTGAAACCTGATCTCTACTAAAAACACACACAAAAAATAGCCAGGCATGGTGGTGGGCGCTTTTAATCCCAGCTACTTGGGAAGCTGAGGCAGGAGAATTGCTTGATCCCAGAAAGTGGAGGTTGCAGTGAGCTGAGATCGTGCCACTGCACTCCAGCCTGGGCGACAGAGTAAGACTCCATCTAGGAAAAAAAAAAAATAGTAATAAAAATCATAATTCAATTAATTTATTTTAGTCATTCTAATAACTTGTGTAGGGGTGTCTCATTGTGGTTTTAATTTGCTATTTCTCTACTGACTCTAGAGACTAGTCAGTCTCTACTGACTAATTTCTCTACTAACTTTCATCTGTACAGCTTTCACAGTGAAGTGTCTTAGAATCTTTGCTCGTTTACTGAGTTGTTTGTGATGTCATTGAGTTTTGAGAGTTCTTTATATTCTAGTTAAAAATCCTGCAAGATATATAATTTGGAAATATTTTCTTGCAGTCTATGGCTTGTCTTTTCACTCTCTTACCAGTCTTTAGGAGAACAGAAGTTCTGAATTTTGGCTGGGTGCAGTGGTTCACACCTATAATCCCAGCATTTTGGGAGGCAGAGGCAGGTGGATCACCCGAGGTGAGCAGGGTTTGAGACCAGCCTGGCCAACATGGCAAAACCCCATCTCTACTAAAAATACAAAAATTAGCTGGACGTGGTGGTGTGTGCCTGTAGTCCCAGCAACTCAGGAGGCTGAAGCAAGAGAATCGCTTGAATTTGGGAGG